GTATGTGTTTACTTTTTCGAAATTTATTCTTCTTTGGTAAAAAATAAATCAGCACTTGGTATTAAGATTTGTCTGTAAATAATATTTATATATATATGTGTATGTAAGTAAATTTATAAGTATGTAGTAAAAAATATTTTGATTTTCACGTCATTTAAAGTATTGCAAAAGTTTAACTCATATTTAACTAATTTTAGTAGCAACTGGAAACTTATAATTAAATTATTACATAAAAATACTTGCGTACATTCACTAATACATACATATATATTTAGTATAATTTAATTTTATACTACTCATAAACTAATTTTAATATAAATGTACAAGTACAACTTACGTATTTAAATACTTAAAATATATTGGAAAATGTAAATTTCAATTAGGAATATTTACGCTACTTTGATGATGAAATCAGTGTTGTAAAAGAAAAATTGCATCAAGAACGCGTTCCCAAAAAAGAGCCAAAGGGGAACAAAAGTATTGAGAGCAGTTTGAACGGGAACAAAATGGGAACAAAAGTTTCGGGAACGTTTCCGCAAAGAACAAAATGCAAAGAAAACTCTCGGGAACGTTCTCCAGAAGAACAGTATGAGAACGAAACTTACGTGAACCTCTACAATGAGAAAATAATAAGAAATAAAGTATCGATAACGTTTTCAAGGAGGATCAAATAAGAACAAAAGTCTGGGGAACGTTCTGTTCGAGAACAAAACGAGAACAAAGGTTTTGAGAACTCGACGTTAAGAATGAGAAGGGCGTCTGCGTGTTGAGATGAAAAATTGTTTAAGTGAGAACTACAGAAATGTTCGTGTCTTAAGTCTTTCGTTGACTTGCGGGTAATTTGCATATTTATCTTTCAGATATTTTTTGATTATTTCTAATATTCAAACATTTCAAAATAATGATTGCTAAGTGAAAAATTTTGTTCTAGCTTCCATTCTTGGTGAATAGTTCAGAGAAGATTTGTTCCCGTTTCGTTCTCTGTCAGAAAGTTCCTTAGACTTTAGTTCCCAAATTGTTCCTCGACAGAATGTTCCTTAGACAATTGCTCCCATTTCGTTCCTTGCTAAAACGTTCCGGAGCCTTTTGTTCCCATTTTGTTCTCTTTAAAATTTGTCTGTAAGTATTGTTCGCATTTTGTTCCCTTCTTGATTGTTCCGCAGGGTTTGCTTCTTATATTGAGAACGTCCTCGATAGGTTTGTTCTCATTTCGGTTGTTCTTTTGAAGCGTTCTTGGGATTATATCTTCAATGAAATCAAGAAGAAAGTCTCTCGGCACTTACACAATATGTTGGTGTTTGGCCGAGCTTCTCCTCCGATTTGTGAAGTGCGACTTGATGTTGTCACATAAAGGGGAGGGACCTACAGTTTTACGCCGACTCCGAACGGACAAGCTGTTTTTCATGGCAGAATACACTACAATAGCTTTGCCATTGCCTACCGAGGGGCGACCGCTATTAGAAAAAAAACTTTATTGTTTATTATTTTTTGATGTTGTTCGGAAAGCGAGCAAGGCTAACCACTATGCCATAGTGGCGATTTTTATATATTAGGTTATCTAATTAAATGTTAAAAACAGAAAATGAAGAAAAAAAAAGTTGGCGCGCTGACCTGTTCTAGAACCCGGGACCTACTGAATGGCAGTTTACAGTTCTGCCGGCTGGGCTACGGTGGTCACCTTACCGTCACTATTATATTTGATAATATTTATTTAAAATGAATTCACGGAGGCATCACATACAACTAAGAAGAAGTACATCCCTACTTTTCAATGAGTGCTTACTTTTAAGAAGTATTAAAAAAAATAAACTTACAGCAAGCTTTTATAAGTGGTAAATAAAAAAATAATAACTTTTCTTAGAGGCAATCCATGTTCCTATAGGTTATATTTTTTTCTCTGTGTATATAATTTTATATAGAAGTCAGCTGGAATGTGTTAAGAAACAGTTTTTCTTCAACACGCATTTTTCACAGTTACAATTCATCAAGCAACACAGTGGGGCCCGTTTAATTGAAGACGATCAATAGCATTTCTTGTAATTATTCGTTGGCTCAATTAACCGATGCTCACTTCACAAAAGCTCTGCCTTACTAAAAACATGAATGCTTTGCGGCTTTGAACGAGTTTCAAGTTAATACATGTAACTGAGAAAATTATTTAAGCGGTGTCTGTTAACAGGGGAGTACTGTACTACGAAAATAGTAATAAAGAACACAGTCGGCTGTGAATATTTCGCCATGGCCATAAATCAGTACGGGAATCAAAAGAGAAAGTCTCAGTTAAAAGCCTTGGCTTTAGGACAAATTTGCTTTTTTTTCGAACACTGCTGGAACTCTACAAATAAATTGCATACCACCAATACAAAGAACTGAATTAAACAAGTCAAACATGTCAATAATGTGGTAACTAATTGATTACATATTACTAATTTTTCTCCTACTAAAGAGTTTTCTTGTTAATTCAAATTGGAATAATTTTAGTTTTATTACATAATTACTTTAGTAAGTATGTATTTCAATTTTCCGTTTTCATCCAATAAACGCGAGCATGAGTACTTTTTACTTATTTGGTATTTGTTGAAGACAACATTTTTCATTTGTGTTAATGAATTTGGGGAAAAAATAAGCGTAAACCACAAACCAGCACTAACAATAACTACTTATATACATATGTAGTAGTGTAGCACATCCTTTTTGCCAGCCGTCATCAGCGATTGCAATCGGCTTACTCTATATATATATCTTCAATCGGATATGCAGTTTCTATAAATTTCTGGTAGAAGCGTTGAAATGCACGACTGCAAAAAAGTGTTAAGAAAAATAAAAAGCGAGCACAATTTAAGCGTTAAATTATTTGGTTAGAACTACAAAGTTTTTGTGTTTGAAGTCGAAAAACTTTCCAAGTACTTACCCAACAGCTTCAGCAACTGGTCGTGTAGATTCTGAACCTTTGAAGACATGGCACGCAAAACGTTGCACCGTTGGATGCTTCGTTATGAAGCCAATAAAACGATGATCGCGTGGATGAAATGCGCAGAATGAGACATTCTTCAGCGAATAGAAGTAATCGATGCAGGGTTTCTTGTCCTTCTTCTTAAAAAGAGAAAGAAAAAAAAAACAAAACAAATTAATATTACACAATTTACACCAACAACACACAACTCAATGCACTTACATTTGGCCCGGAACGATCCACCATGCGCAGTCCCTGATCGGATACTTCCAGTATGNTTACCAATTGGTGCAAATTATGATATTTGATGCAAAATTTTGTTGCAACGAAATGAAAAATGACAAAAACGGAAGGTGACTAAGTAAAAGAGAGTAACATAAAAAAAAATTGTATTAACAGCTAAATACCAGTATTTATTTACACATTGTTCTCCGTTTTTAACTAATTAACAATTTGTATACATAAGTAGATTTGAGCACTAAAACATGTGCAAAAAAAATATTTTCCTAAGCTTCGCTACGGCAAAGTCACAAATTTCGCTTGGGTGATTCACAAGGTGCTTTAACTAGTCATGTTTTCATAAATATCAGGGACCGTAATCATTATGAGTTTTGTCAAAAAATTCACTTCTAATCATTATTTTGACATTTTAATACCTGCGATCAATCATAATAATCACATTTTGCGTTTTATTGTATTGCTCAGAAAATACAATCATTTATTGAAATATATTTTTTTGATCAAAAATAAAACTTATTTTTCAAGCGTTATTTTTTTTGCTCTGAAGAGTGAAGTTTGTGAGTTGTTTTCTTTTTGATCAAAAATAATTATTATATTATGAGTTTTATATTTTTGATCAGAAATAATCATTATTTTGTAAGACTTATTTTTTGCATCAAAAATAATGATTATTCTTTGAGTTTTATTATTTTGATCGAAAATAAAACTTTTTTTTATTTTATTTTTTACAAAACAGATTTTTTCATTATTTTTATATAATTTTGTTTTATTCGAAAATTCAACTTAAAAGATAAAAACATATGAAATGTAAATGAAAAAAAAAAACATAAATAATTTCTAATGTTTCAATTTTTAAACACGTATAACGTTTTTTTTTTTAATATTATGTTGGTAATACTATTCATCGACATATTGGCTGCATTTCTTTATTCATTCTGAACGTTTGGAATAAACTTTTTTGTTTATTTATTCTTTAGAACGTTCCTGATGATATGTTGGCGTATATTTCAAACGCATTCGGTTTATTCTGGCTGTGAAATGAGATTATCCGGAATGTATAAAGAAACGCAGCCATTGTATGACAAATGACATGTGTGACAGCATACTTTTTCATTTTCATACTGTGCTTTATCATTTTCATACTGTGTTTAATATGTAAAATAAAAAAAAAATAAAAAATAAATAAAAAATAAATCAAAAAAAGAAAAAAAAATTTCAACGCTGAACATTTTAGGCTATTTACAAATTGAAGTTGCATTATGAGAAAGTCAAATTTCGTGGATTTTCTCAACAATGTTGTCGATTTTCGGAAAAAAGGCGTTAAAATCCGAAACAAACCACGGAAGCGCCGTCTGGCGGCCCTCAAAAGAAAAAAACTAATGCCAGAAATGGATTCCTCGACCCCAAAAACCTCCAGATACACATTTTGGCTAATTTTCAATACAGCTGAGCCACTGAGCAGGTGAGCCACTTTTTGATAAAAAAAAACTAGATGGAAAAAATCGTTGGCTCGAAAATTATTTTAGACCTATGGTTTCTTGGGCAAAAATGCTTGAAATTACCCAAATAATCATAATCGCTATGTGCCTCTGTTAATTTTTTTGGGCCCCTACAAATCGACCCGCCCTAATGTATATATGTATGTACATATGCTAATGATTTGATGTTTTATATCATGTTCACAATTAAATTCAATCTACAAATTGGATAAACAAAAATAAGCAGTTTCATAGTTATGTACATCGGCACAGTGGTGTAAAGCTCATATTTAATGCTCACCAAATAATTGAACTGTAAAATGAAGAAAAATATCTATAATAGACTTTTTTTAGAACAAACTTAAAAAAATGGGAGCTCAAAAAATTCGAAGCAAGTTCAAAATTAATTCGTAAGTCTCAATTAAAAACCTTTTTCATATTAAATGTGAGCTTTGAAGCACCATGAGAAACCACCATTATTAATTTTTGAATTACACAAATCGCTAGCAACTTACATTTCTTATTTTTTGGTATTTCCGGTAATTTTCGTCTACGTCGTTGTTGCAGCTGAGTTGCACCAATGGCAGCAGCTGTATTGGGTGAGAGCAATAATTGATGACCCACAGTGCCATCACTGCCAGTTGTACTATTTCCAATAATAGTGCCACCGCCAGTGCCAGTACCAATACCAATACCAACTAGACCACCAATTGCATCCTGATGGTTTAATGGATGATGGCGATGTGAATTGAAGGAGTCATTTGTGTCCAGCGATCCATCAGAAGAGAGTGATACAACTTTCAGACCATCGCCAATTTCATCATCCTCCACCTGACGTTGAAGCTTCGTCGACGATTCGCAGCAGAGTTCTCCACCGCCAGCATCTTCCTGATCGGAAGAATCACTTTTCGAAGATGGCGAATCCTCGAGATCATCATTGGGAATGAGGCTGAAGATTTGAAAAGCGTAAAGAACAAAATTTTGGTTGTTAATAGGAGAAAAATTTTGCCGGTGAGCGGATTGCCAAATTGTTTTTTTGAAATTTGTTTGAGAAATTATTTAGTGTAATTGATTTTTCACATGCGGAAGACACTCATATGCCACGCACTGACACAAGCACACATACAATTACGCACACCACGGCAGTGGACAGCACAAAATTGTATGTCAAAACACTTGCACACAAACGCCCGCAGCCAAGCACTCTGATGAGTCGTACTATTTAAGCAGGGCTCGAATCGTCACATACGATATCGTACTACTCGCCACGTTAAAACGTATTTTCCGGATTATGACATTCGTGAACGTACTCTTTGTCCCTTTCAGCTTATAATGCCTGACGTATCACGTAATTTTCTTTCGTATCGTTTTCGATCCGTGAACGGATGTTACGATTCGAGCCCTGTACTTGTGGGGAGTTTTCAAGTGGCTCGGCATGTCCTGATTCTCGCATCCGCTGACATTTTAGGTAGATTACATGCAATCTTTTTCTTTTTTGATTTTACATCTACATATTTACATACATAAGTAGTTGGCATACTTACGAGTAGAATGTGTGTGCATTATTTTTCTTTTGGCCAGAGCTTATGTACGTCTGAATCTGATGTGGCTCAAAGATGGGCCTGTGGAATTCTTCAAATTCGCTGTCAGCCATTGTGCTTCGAAAGTGACTGCTCGATGCTGGTTGTGACTGGAGATTTTAGTGTGTGTCTGTATGTGCGTGCTAAGCCACTGTTGTATGTATGCCAGCTGAAGTACTTCAAAAAAAAATATTTGTCACCAACAATTTGCAACACCCACGGAATAAGTACACCACACAGCACAACCGTATTTGGCAACGCGTATCGCTGTATATTCAAATAGCCTTAAACTTTCAATTACTGCAATCCAATTTATTTGCAAACTGAAACTAAAATTTTTGCGAAAAAGCGATTTGTGTGCCCTCTTTGCCAAAGCAAATCAGGCGTCGAATGACTTTTTCACTCTTCGATCGATAATTTCCTTTTCGCTTTTGTTGGCTTGTCGCTCGGCTGATTTGGCTGCCACTTCGGTTGGGTCGTCGCAGAAAATGTCCATGGCAGAGACGGTGAGCGCCTTGAAAGTGACTTTGATGAGGCAAGCGAAAGGGGCTGTTGGAGTCCGAGCGGCGGGTGGTCGTATTTACTACGAGTACAGTGCTCAGAGTACTGTGTAATTTAGCTGTCAAACTATTGTCCGAAAAAATATAAGGTTTATAGGAAAATGTGGACCAAAGCGGGTGCTGTAATGCAATCGTACCTACAGTTGTGTGTCAAGTTTTTTACGTTGCTGTTTTTGTTTACAGCAGTAACAGCAGTGTAACAGCCCCCGCCGCATATGTGGCATGCTTAAAGCTGTCTAAGCTCTCGCTGTTTGGGGTTGATTTGGGAAATTTAACTGTCATTCTTAAGGGTGTAAAACGTTAACAAAAGCAAGTAACTGAGTCAGGACATGTAGGTCTTACATTGGCTTTGTTTACAACAATGACAGATGAGCAAGTAAAGTGAAGCAAGAAGAGAGAGGCAAGTGGCAAGTTATGTCGACAAGCAAAGAGCATGCGCATTGTGGAATCATGATATACATACATACAATGACATGTAATTATGAAAAGGTCAGTTAATTTTAAATTAAATTAATTTGTATTTAATAACACTCATTTCAATAAGCACAAAGATACATATTAGGCACCGTAGATTAGCGTGCATCACTCTCCATACAAAAAAAAGAAAGAAAAGAAAATCGGTAGAGACCGTGTTTCCATCGGAATTGTAAAATCTAGTTACTTTTGAGACTATTACTTCAAAAATTTATTTTTTTTTTGATAAAAAAAAATTAGTTCTAAAAAAAGTGTTTTCCCAAAAAATCATCTCAGTAGATAGAAGAGTTAAAGCTTAGAAGGTTTGCTTAAAAATGTTAAAAAACATTATCAACAGAATCAAGCGATTTTTGGCAGTATTTTCAAATCGGACCAGCTCACGTAAATCTTAATATTTCTCCACAACATTTTGGCGCAAGTCTTAAAATATAATAAATTTTATAATGCCGTTGGAAAAAACCACAACCTTTTTTTAGCTCAGACACTCTAATGTACATATCTGTGTTCGTATGGAAAAGTAGCTTATGTCGAAAGGTTGGCTTTAGTATAATGCGGCAATCCCTTTATTTATTAAACGGCAAGGAATTTTTTGATGAGACTTAATAAGAATATTGACTTGCTAGTATCGGAACTATTTCTTCCCCGTTTATTTGCCAAAAGTTGTTCAACGGCTTAGCGCTAGTTAGTCATTCGCAATCGTATGCTGCGAATGCCGATTTATACTAAAGCCAGCCTTTCGACATAAGCTACTTTTCCATATGAACACAGATATGTATATAAGTGTGTATGTGTGTAGTCCATTAGGATGCTTCATTCTCCATTTAACACGTTGGGCGCCGTGTAACAACAGGTTGGTCTCACAGGCCTCGTGGTGCCACCTTTGTGGTGCTTAATTGAGGCCATTAGGAAGAGTTTAGCCATCTCTTACTAAACTCATTGTATCGTTCGTGCTGCTTGGCCGGTATTTAGGTATGAGACAATTGTGGCACCATGCCTCGACTCCAGCGCTACCTAGCGAGACTGTTTTTCACACCAGCAGCATGCGTTTTCAATATCAAAATCGGACCATAAATACGGATTTTCTTTCACCGGTTACCAAGTCTAAGCTAGTGCGGGAATGCAAAGTGATAGTGTGTTCAGTGTCTCAGTCAACCACTGTTTTTCTTGTCTGGGTTTCCGGACTTACGAACATAGAAGGCAATGAGAAGGCCAGCTTAAATGAATCCGAAGCGGTGGCACTGGATAGCCCCCTTGGAATAGTCCAAAGAGATCAGATATACAGACGTGTAAGATATCGGGGAAAATATGGCATGACTACAACAGGACGAAGACACGGGACCTGCTTAGCAGATCAAGATCAGAGATGTTTAGAATTTTAGCAACCAATACGGGGTACTGGCCCATAGGCAAACATGCAGAAAAAATAGGACTACCTCCTGATAGGATTTGCCGCAGCTGTCAACTAGAATATAGCAAAGAAAGTGTCCAGCATTTATCTTTGTTTATGTCCAGGCCTTTCAAATATTAGAAATGAAACAATAGGCAAACACCTGGTAACAAATCTTAGCGACCAATCAGGAGCTACCATTAGCGAAATCGGTAGATTCATTAGAGAATCAAGATGGTTCGACTTAGAAGATGGGGTAATCGTAAAAAACATAATTGAAGTTTTTTAGTACTGCTTAGGGAGTAATTTATACCTCTCCCATTTGTCCATACATAGATATGTACCTACATACATATGTAGATATGAATATATATACATACATATATACATACAAAAGCACATATGTACAGGCATATTTAAATTAGTATAACCGATATTCACAAAGGACCTTAACTTGTTGCTTCCGCTCATAGAAACTTT